TTCTGCCAGTTGGTCTAAAATGCTGGAGAATTTGTTAATTAAGGAAAAAAGTTAATTGAACATTGTAAAACTAAACACTTAGTGGCTGCTAGTGAAGTCTTAGTTCAATGGCCTGAGCTGCTTGTGTTAACTTGGTCTTTAGTTGTGCCATCATGTGCTTTCCTCTAACCCACCCACCCACCCGCCCAGCAACGCTGGCTGTTGTGGATAGGAAATGAGAATAAATTTAGGTTGTGCAATGGAAGATGGAAGTGTTTGGACCCTCTCTAGCTGGTGAGGCAAGCGAGGTATAGGCCCTCAAATAAAGGAAAGGGTGCTTGGCTTAGGCCTCGTCTGCTATGGATTGACTATGGAACACTGGACAGACATGCTGATGGTCACATCTGGACTTTGCTACATCCATTCAGTGGAAGATCTCCACTGTGCTATTTGATTCAGACTGTTGAGTCTAAACAGAGTGTGTTTGAACACTCTGAGTCTGGATGGAGTGTTCTCTGTCGGACAGTGGAAGGTGGTTGTTTCTAAAGTGTTGGGGTTTGGGGTCTTTTTGCATTTATAATTACTCTGATGGATTTTCTTTGGTTATTTCTATCATAAAGACAGCAGTTGGTTTTATAGTTGAGATTTCTTTCAGTTCATACTTTTTGAATAATGAAATATTGTTGCATGTGGCTCTGAACAGAATCATATTACTCGCATTATTGCTAGTTTGGCACGGTGGCGACTGATGACTGGATTTGCTGACTGGATTTGGTAAGAATCCTCCTTCAATATGATTTAGAAGACCTTGGATGTGATACTGAAGCACTTTTCACTAGGATACTTCATGTCAGTAGCCTGTGATCTGAATGCAGCATCAGAGAAAGCCTCTTAGCAGGCACAATGACTAGAAAAGGACAAGATCTTTGAGCTCTCTATTGCCTTAGACAAATGGCTTTGCTTTGTTTGATATATAAAGTCCATTCTTGAATTCAATTAGTTTTCTTGCTCCTCTTTCAAAACTACAATGAACAAAAATTATTAACTTTTGCTGCTGTAAAAATTCTCTGAAGAGATCCCCCATGTAATTCCATATTCAAACCTAACCTTTGCTGTCGTAGCTATTAGGAATTGCAAAGTGTTTTCAACTTTATCTTGTTCATGTAAACTTTTCTTTCTAGTGCAATGACAGATGTTTTAAAGTTCATGTAAGTTCAACTGATCTTCTGCATGATGTAAATCAAAAAGGTGATGTCACAGCAACCTGGCGTGGGGTCTCTTTGTTGTAAAACAAGCAAACTAAAAACCAGAGCCTGCAAATTAAATTTTTAGCATGTTTTCCTTTTATCTTCATGGTTTTAGTTAATCTCTTTGAACCTCACTAAAAATGTATCTAGTAACTGCTACTGGATTTCAAGTTGATCACATAACTTACTTGGTTGCTTTGAATAGAACTGTTTATTGTAGAATTCATTTATAGTTTCATCCCGAAGAGAGTTGTTTCTTAAGCTGTTTTTTCCCCAGTGAGGACAGGCTGAGGGAGTTGGGGCTGTTCAGCCTGGAGAAGAGAAGGTTGTGTGGAGACCTCAGAGCACCTTCCAGGAGCTGAAGGGGCTCCAGGGAAGCTGCAGAGGGACTTTGTGTTAGGAGCTGCAGTGACAGGACAGGGGGCAATGGGTACAAATTGAAGAAGGGAAATCTGCCTTAGACATTAGGCAGAAATTTTCCCTGTGAGGGTGGTGAGACACTGGCACAGGTTGCCCAGGGAAGCTGTGGCTGCCCCAACCCTGGCAGTGTTCAAGGCCAGGTTGGATGAAGCCTTGAGCAACCTGCTCTGGTGGGAGGTGTCCCTGCCCAGGGCAAGGGGTTGGGGCTGGATGATCTGTAAGGTCCATTCCAATCCCTAAAATTCTCTGTGTTTTGATTCAACGAATTTGTTGGGTCAAGGCTGAGAATTTTTTTACCAGAGGAAGGACTCTATAAACATCTCCATTTGTGCTCCAGATGGCATATATGAAGCAATGAAGACATTGCCTCTCCTACTGAGACTGACCATATTTGTTCAAACTCCAGGTTAGTTAGGACTAACACGGTCAATTAGGGCTGTCTGTAGAAAGCTTTGAAATACTCATGAAATAGCACAGGTAAAGTGGATTAAACATTTTCTAAATAAAGGCTTATAAAGCAAACCTCACAACATAACTTGTTTTGTTGTGTTACATCCTGGTGTAAAATGGCATCAGCTATGGCACAGTGTTTCAGCAGTAATCCACACACATTGAACCACCATTTTATGTCTCGGCCTGTTTATATAAATTCTAGTTGAAGTATGAATAAACTTTTCCTTTTCTGTGCTCCAGCAAGTGCCGTGTATATCTGAGGGGGGACTGGAACTCATTCCTGGAAAAGGAGGAATATGGGGAGAAGAAGAGATTAAATGAACTTTATTTCTAATAGCAAATATCCTTAGTTGGCATTGGGGAGTAGAAGCAAAGAAAACAAACAGAAAATGTTTTTGTCACAGGTTTGTTATTTTTTCCCAGTGAAAAGCTGCAAGGTAATTGAGTCACATACAGAGCATAGCATTTCATTAAGGGCATGATTATCTTAATGAACTCTACTAGTGCCCAGTGCTAGTTGTATAATAATACTTTGTCTTCCAGCACACATAGATGTGTATGTATGTATGTATGTTAAATGTGTGAAAGGGATAAGGATGTGGATAAGTTCAACATAGCTGTACACAGAAAGAACTGAGCCAGGATTTCACAGTAAATTTCAGTCCATCCCTTCACCTGCTTGTTTGTCTTGGAGTTCTAGGGGCAGGGCAGTATTTATGGAACAGATACTATTCATTTAATACAATACTTTTCTCATTTGAGGATATTATTTTGGAAAGTGTCAGTTTAGGGCTGAGGAAAACAGAGCAGTTTGGAAGAAGCATCAGGAGACTTGGCTACAGTTCCTATATGCATCTCTTGTGGTTAGACTGGATTCTGGTGTTTGGAGCAGTGGTAAAATAGCATATTTTGGCTTTTTTTTTTAAACTCTCCTTTCTATGATCCCTCTGGATCTTGACCTATGTGCAGAGAAACTTCATATGGTGACTTTTCTTTTGACCAAGTGCATATGTTGTGTTTACATTTCTGCAAACCTTCAGGTTTTCTGTTTAACCAAACCTGCAAATCTAATGTGAACTGAGTAATCTTTAATCTGTTAAAGTTGAAAATTGTGTGGAAATATTTGGTTTTTACCTGGAAGAAAATTAAAAAATACTCAAAAAAATCTTAACTTCAGATTTTCTGTTATTTACTGTAGTCTTTGTTCAGCCAGAGTAAGCCAAAACTGTAAGGTTCTTGGCCCAGTTCCCTCAATTTATTTTAGCTGGAAACCATATAAACAAACTATTTTTCCTCTGACTCAATTCCTATTCTTACCTCGTTCTGCCCAATGATTTTGTATGTTCTAGGAATGTAGACACAGTTTCAGTTGATGGAGGTTCTCCCAACCAGAACTCTAAAATTCATTGTCAGAATTTTATATCTATAGTGGATTCCTTTTTTTCCATGTGCAAGGTATCATTTCAGGGTAAGTAGACAGGAGCATGAAGGAAACCAATAAGCATAGAGGAAGTTGAAAAATGAGTCATCGTGTCACTCTTGGCTATGTGACCTGCAGTAATAAAGCTGATGCTTTGGGGTTTTGACAGAACTGTGATTTGCAGCATCACAGATGTATCAAAATAAAAATCTACTTTATGTGCCAGTAGCAGCTCAAGACTTCAGGGTATGTGAATAAATATGGAGTTGTTTTATGTGGTCCCCACAGTGTGGTTAAATCTGTGGTGTCTGAGCTAGAGAGACTGATGTTAGGTTGCCCTCAACATGCTGCATTTCTGCTTTGATCTGGACTAGAAACTTAACTTAGAACAAAAAAAACCCCAAACAGCTTTTAGGCAGAGATGCATTATGATGTAGGAGAGCTGAGTGGTTCCTGTAGTGCTTTATTTTCTTTGCCCAAGCTTGTGCAATGGTAAGACATACTTAATGTTTTGTGTATGTACTGAACTCGAGCACAAGTGCTATGAGGAGAGGCTGAGGGAGCTGGGCTTGTTTAGCCTGGAGAAGAGGAGGCTCAGGGGAGACCTTCTCACCCTCTACAACTCCCTGAAAGGAGGTTGGAGTCAGGTGGGGATTGGTCTCTTCTCCCAGGCAACAGGCAGAGGGACAAGAGGGCACAGACTCAAGCTCTGCCAGGGGAGGTTTATGTTGGATATTAGAAAGAGATTTATTAAGGAGAGAGTGATCAGGCGTTGGAATGGGCTGCCCAGGGAGGTGGTGGATTCACCATCCCTGGAGGTTTTTAAGATGAGACTAGATGTGGCACTTAGTGCCATGGTCTAGTGACCATGGTAGGGTTGGACTTGATGATCTTGGAGGTCTTCTACAACCTGGTTTATTCTATGATAATTATTAAGTTTTTAACTCAAGGGGTTTATTTTGTCTTTCACAAAATCTGACTAAAGTAGTCACGACACGTTTGCTGAAGAAAGAGTCTCATAGACTGTGGCTGTATGGCAAACAGTGTTGTTCATGTGGTCTAATTACTATCTATGGAAATAAAATTGGAAGCAGATTAGGGTTTTGAAGCACCTTCACAAAACAGAAAAGCCTCAAAATTCTAATAGGCTATTAAACTGCAATCTATGTTCCAGGGAAAAATTGTGTTTACATTTAACAGTTTATGAGCAAAACAGTCACTGTAGGTTTTCTTTGAACTTGTAAGAAGTTCATTTTGTGTTGCAGCTCAGAGTGTTACTATATGCGGAATTCATTACCTTCCCTCATAATAGTCCTTCTTTTTTTGAATCAAACTATTATGTTGGACAATACTTCTACACTGCTGTTTGATTTCAAAGATCAAAGCTGTTCTCTTTGATTAACTGTGCTATGCTCAACACTAATAGGTATACTAAAGTGTTGCCAAGATTAATGTGGAGATGACCCTGTGCCTATTTTCAGACTTGCAGGGGGGCGAATTCTGTCAACAGTGAAGATGCAGTTGATAAAAGGCCGAAGCAATGGGGATCCTTTCTGTCAGGCAGTAGAGGAAGTTGTACAAGATTTGGATTTGAAGATTAAAAATATTATCGATTCACTACAGGAAGTCTCAACTGCTAGCACCACTGGAGTCAGTCCAGCACGGGTAATAGCACTTCTTTTGTTCTCCTTACTCTTTAGCTGTATAAGAAAGCAAATGTCTTTTGCCCCTTTTGCTTCTTTTTCACTTTTAAAGGACTATCTAAAGAGCATAATCTTCTCCTAACAGTACAGAGTAGTGTCATTTTCTTTATGATGTCATTTTAAACTTGTTGAAAGACTTGAGGATTACGCTGTGGGTTTCAAAGAGCTGATTTACTCAGAGTAAATTTCTTACCACAAAATTGTATGTAAAAGACTCTTCAAAACTTACTTTGTTCATGCAGCTATTGTATATGTAGGTACTTAGAAGTGTCAGGTTTGTCACCAATTTCCATAGTAAATTTCCAAACAAAAGAACCTCATGAAAGCAGAATTAAGATTTGAGAACATGTGTCAGTAATCTTTGATTAAAATACATAGATTTTAATTAGACCAGCATCAAGTATTTCTAAGAGCGAGGCATTCAAAGTAAGGCTACATATGAAAGGAAATGTGGAGTGGGAGGGGAATGAAGATAACCCCCCAAACAATACAGCTGTATTGGGTTCATGTGCTCAGATTCCTACTAGGAGGAATTGTTGCCCATGGAGAGAACTCCATGCAGAATCAGATTTTCTGGCAGGAACTGCTACCTCATGGATGTCCCATGCTGGAGCAGTCTTCCTGAAGGATTGCACCCCCTGGGAATCAACCATACTGGAGCAGTTGTTGCGGAACTACAGCCTGCAGGCAGGACCTGTGCTGATGAAGTTTGCAAGGGACAAATCTCCCTCTCGTGGGAGGCACGGGAGTAGAGGAAGAGCATAAGGAAGAAGCAGAAGAGATGCAATGTTAGCAACTGACTGCAAAGTCCCATAAGTTTGCCAAATTAATTTGAGGTCTTAAAAAAATTAGAGCATCCATGTTGTTCCGTTAAGCTCTCAGGACAGCAAAGATGAATGCTTTGTGCTGAGTTTTACTTACAGGTTGGGGTCTTTTGTGGTTTGATCTTTTGCTTTATAAAGAAACCCCCAAGCCCTGATGCTATAATTTTTCAGGAAATTTGATCTACATTCAGAAGAAGTTCTGGTTTTGGTAGGATGTTGTTTTTTTCATTGGTAAGAGATTGAATAATTTCTTTGAGTGCAAATGTAAAATATGATCTTAACTACAGACGTGAAAATTATGTCTCCACTAGCTCCTGGGTAGACTGATTCCTCAGAAAACGTACCTGAAAAGAGTTACTTTGTTAGAAAAATATTTGCTTTTCTCCTGGCAGTGACAGTTTTCTTCCATCACTGCTCAGTTTTCCTGCAAATACCTTTTCATAAGAGCCTAGAGCTCCAGGAAAAGTTGTTATTTTATGCAGCAGGAAGCACTACTTCGTGTTGAAACCTGCACGAGTGACTAATAGGAATGATGATTAATTTCTTCCTAAGAAAATTACTACTGTAAACGGAATCTGGCTGGTGTTTATGGAACCAACCAGGATAGTCTGGAGCAGCTAATGGTCACTCCTCTTGAAAGACTAGGCAACTATTTTATTTAAAAAATCATTTGAATCATGATTTTAAGTTGAGTTACAAACAAGATCTTATATTACATGGACAGGGCTCAGTGTTGGGCCCAGTTCTCTTTATTACCTTTGCTGATGATTTGGATGAGGG